TAACTTCATTCTTCTGTTTATATAATCATCTTAAACAGATGCTTGAGTTTTCACATAATTTTCCTTCTTTGAAATATAATCAATATGATAGTTTTAAGAAATACAGAATTGAATGACTAAAAATAAGCCCTTTCCATCCTGAATGAAAGCAATGACGGACATGGGTGTGAAAATAGAGACGTAGGTTCCAACAGAGAGTACTGGGTGCTAAAGACCAGACGTCTTAACCTACATCTCACTCTGTTGTTCTGCAGTAGGATTTCCTATTTTGGAAGCGATTAGGAATCACTAGAATTGGCGATTTTATCACACTCTGATGATAGTTGGCATGCATGCATTTCATTATTCATATTGCATAAGGAGAATTTAATTGGCATGATTTTGGTATTCCATTTCCTGTTCAAGAACTCCCATCTACTATTATTTTTCTCTTTTACCTACAAATGATAGGATGGAATAAAGTAGGATGTGACAGGCCCCTATAACCATCTCTGCAACCTACAGAGGTCTCCTGAGCTCTAAATATATACTTCTAGTTGCCTATTTTTACATTCCCTTAGATATCTTCCAGGAATTACAAATTTAAAATATGTAAAACCAAGTCCATTGCTTTAGTAATATTCTCCTTTCTATTTTCTACATCATTTAAGGCAGTCATTCTTCACCTGGTTGCCTAAGGTCCCAGAGTTCATTTACACCTCTCCTCCTTTACCCTTCACAATGAGTCACTATGTCCAAGTGACAGAAACTCACCCTCCGTCTTCCTTGCCACTTTCTTGCTTCTAGCTTCCAGGTCTCCTCGCTTCTTCACCTGGACACGGCACCAATGTGTTGATTTGCCCACCAGCCTTTAGTGGTAGAGTCTGGTCTCCTCTCCCACCAACACCTAGGCAATCTTTCTAAAGCACAAGTCTGCTCCTCTCACCCCACTCCCCCGGCCTGTCCATCAACAGCTCAGTGAGCTGTTTCTGCCCTTTCTCCCTATGTCTGTCTTTACTCACTATATGTAGAGGGTTGCTCAAAGGCGCCACCATGGGCTCTCTAGGATATGTGTCCTCAGGCTAGTTCCTCTGATGGGAACACCTTGGGGCCACATCACACCTCAATTCCTTCCTCCTCTGTGAAGCCAGTACTGATAACACCATCTCTCTTTCCTATTATTACTCATGCCTTACTTCCAGGATTTAGTACATCAGACTGGGATGACATTTTTACTTCTTGGGTCTCCCTCCATAACAGTAAGCTGTGAGCACCCTAAGCCCATTTCTCAACCATTTTACCTAGCAGCACGTCATCCATGGATTTAGCATTTGTGGATTCCATAAATACTTATAAATGACACTGAGTGAATGAAAGCTGAGATATTTAAGTTGAATTTTTACAATTCCTATTAATTGGAGACCATCAGTGTTGCCCAGATTTCCCATACATTGCATGTCCTTTTTATGACCCAGCCTCAAAAATTACATAGCACAGCTTCCACTGTACTTGACCCCTCAAGGCACTCACAAGCCCAACCAGACTCATGGGGAGGACACATGGAGCCTAATTCTTGATGGATGTATCCAAACATTCAATGCTGTTTTAAATCCAATCACCATCAGAGGATGCTACAGAACCAACTCATTATTTTGAAAATATAGAAAGAAAAAAAAATCTCTTATCCTGCCTTTCCTATGTAAGCATATATCTAAGTGGTCAAATAGCAGGTGAAGAGACCTCTCTTTAAAGAAACATTCCAATGAATTAGAATATCACTCTTTTAAAATCCCTAATGATTGTTGTATCCAGACAATGACTATCAATATCTGCTAACATTAAAAAATAGAGGAGAGACACAACAACTTATTATACATCCCCTTTGAAAGAAGAAAACACTCCCACAAAGAGATTTTCTGGAAAATATAAATGATGTCTCTAGAACCTCCTATAGGCCGAGCACCCCTTATCCAAAATGCTTGGGACCAGACATGTTTCAAATTTCATATGTTTTTGGATTGGGGAATATTTGCATAGTCTTTACCAGTGGATCATCTCTAATCTAAAAATCCAAAGTGCTCTGAAATCTAAAAGCACTCAGTAAGTGTCAGATTTTGAATTTTTGGATTAGGAAAGCTTAACATATACCAGTTTACAGGGAAATGTATCTTGAGCCAACTATCAATTTACTGAAACCAGAGAAGAAAGAACAGCATGTTAACTGATACTTCAGGGGTGATATTAGTGAAATTCAGACTCGGAGATTTTACCAAACAAAATGACCAGGTTTTACCAAACAAATGACAAATTTTACCAAACAAACGACCAGGTTTTGTCATCAAACAAAAAAGGAAAAAAATAAGAATTAGAAAATAATCTATACAGGTTTGAAAATCTTATCAATCAAACAGAATGTGTAAACTATTTTTGGATCCTGATTTAGAGAGATAGAGTGTAAGAAAACTAATGGCATTTCAGAGATAACTAGAAATTTGAGCACTAAGTAGATATACAGTGATATTCAACAATTTATTTTAGATAAAATAACATTACTGAGGGATTTTTTAAATAAAGAAAAGTCTTTCTGGTAAAATAACATAACATCTGGAATTACTTTCAAAATAGAATAAGGGTAAAAGTCAGAGATAGAAACAAGTATCATTGTCTATGAGTCGATTAGTATAAAAGCCGAGTAGTGGTACTTGGGGGTCCTTTATATAACTTTTTCTATTTTTATATTAAAATCTTCCCATTAAAAAAATATATTTTAAAAAAGTTTATTAACTCCAAGTTACACTTAATAAAGTAAAAACCCCTTGGTAAATTCTTTATGCACCCTAGGATCTGGCCCTTGTACTTCTCCAGCACCATCTGACCCACTCTCACTCTCTCCCTACCTTTATACTACATAAAGCTACTGACTTCTAGTTCCCATACGGGACTATAATTTCTTATACTTGCAAATGTTTGTAAATTTCCCTTTTTTCCAGAATGCCAAGTCCCATTCTCCTCCTGGTAAAATTCATTCCATGGATCACATTTCCACATTGCCAGCTGCAGGGATCTGGCTCTCTGCTCAGTCCCGGCAAAGCAGAACTGCAGTGATGGATGCCCATCATTGGCCTCTCCCAGCTGCCTCTGCAGCCCTCCCTACCCTCCTTTCTGTCTTATGAAGCTGATCTATTTGGACTGTATTGGTGGCCTCTGTATCCTCTGGCTCCTGGTCAGGCTTCTCCAGAGGGAGCCACCTGCAGAAGGTCCAGAGGACAAGGAAACCATATGTGTGCTCTTCTCTGCCTGGAAGGCACAAGTTGGCAGCTTCCTCTGCCAATATCACATCTATCAAGGGGCCCCTTCCAAGTACTTCTCTTTCTGTTATGGGTGACCATTTCTTTGTCCTTCATTATTCAGCTGAGAAATTGTCGCTTCCTATAAACTTAGTGCACTATGAATAAAGAGTCCCTCTGTTCAACTCTCCTCCTTTTTAATCTGCCCATCTCTTCTGCTCAGACACTCATTGTAAACAAACAACCCCAAAAAAGACCACATGAAGAAATACAGACATAGACTGAGAAGCCGTAGAAGGTGAAGAGTCAAGAAACATTAAAGGGAGAGGAAGAACAAGGGGATGTTGGAACCTCTGCTTGACTGATAAGCTACTTGGGCTAGAAAGCAAAGATGGACGTGGGGAAAGCTGGAGAATCAGAGAGAACCTTGATGTCAAAGACAGGGAAAGGATTTAAATTTTGACCCTAAGGGCAAAAGGAAAGTATCTGGTAATCCCTGTGCTCTGCTGGGGTTACACAAGGGACATCATCCCTCAGACAATTCTTGACAGCCTTCCACCTCATGGCCAGGCCCAGGAAGCTCTGGCACATGGTAACCATTCAATAAGTGTCCACTGGATCAGTGAATGAATGAATGAGTGAACACATAAGGACAGTTTGAGTTTTTTTCTCCCTATATGCCAGCATAATACTTCCTTGCACACCTCCTGTCTGAACTTAATCGTGTTTTTTCTTTGATGTATCTTCCATGTAATTACCATGCAAAGCATCGGTGAGAAACAGCAGCATATGAGCCATGACCCTAAAAAGTAGGTCCATCTCCGTCTTTCATACTATAACAACCTATGTCATTCTAGAGATCGCAAGTTGAACAAGAAACACAACTCAAGTGATGGAGATTCTTGCCATGACCATTGTAGGTTATTCTGTTAGGCTTCACTGTTGGAGATGATTGAGGAAGTCATTTGAAATTCACAAGAGGATTGAAAAGAGATCCATTTGCTTGATTTTGAAGGAGAAGTACAACCTCCTTGCTCTTGTGCACAAGGTTTAATTAACCAAGTACTAACCAAAGATTTCAAGTAGACGCTTTAATCTTGATTTGTTTTTTTCTAACTGATAACATAGATTGATTTACACAAGATAAAATAATAGTATAATTTTAATTGGTTCCCTCATTTAAAAACTAACAGGAATGCATAGATAAAACCTATTTGAAAACATACTTTTATTACAAATTTACCATTTAATACAAGCAAACAGTATTGAAAAAAATCAAGTGATCTCAATATTGTAGCAAGTGAATATTTACTAAAGTCACGATAATGATGTCTTTCTATATGTAAATATTTTGAGATAATGGATATGCCCATCTCATGCACAAGTAAGTAAGCAAGATGAAGTTGAACACAAATAACCAATTGAATTTTTGCCTAAATATTCTAGTACTCAGTTATCCAAAAAGTACTAAATGCTATGGTTTTTACATCAGTGCTGGGATATTTCTGTGGGATATTGCTTTTTAATTAGCATGAAAATTTTTTATTCTGGTAGAAAATTAAGAAAAGTATGAAATGATACTAATTTAATATATTTTTAAATTCAATCACACGTTCATGAGTTTTCACTTTTTCATGTTTTTCCTAAGCAACTTTATACTGTATAAGGACTATAAATTGATAAACTCTATGATTTAAATGCATTTTGTTTCAACAAAATAGTTGTACTGCTCACCAAAGAGGCCATGGTGAATCCAATGACTTCAATATAGCCATCATCATGACGCTGAGGCTCAAAGTCATGGTGGTCTCCCGGGTTTCCCCAGGGCATTGTGCCAGCACAATATCTGCAGGATAAGGGGAAAAATAGAAATAAATAGACTCCATTATGCTCATGATTCTGTCATTAGAGATCAACTGGCAGTTAAAGTAATGAATACATATATCAAGACCTCACATAAACTCCATAAATACGTGCAATTGTACTTATGCATCATTTTAACTCAAATCTAAGTTACTTATTTACAGTTAGAACCAATGCTCATTAAGTATAAGTACAGTTTTCTGCTCTTGGTATACACCTTTCAAATGAAAAGAAAATGAATTTTCTGGATTTTCTGAAATGATCATACTCCAAGGTATGATCCTGCAAAAATGGCCATAATTTTGCAACAAAAGCATCCTGTAGTATCCAAATTTCCCCTCATTATTTATCAACATTTCTCACTTTAGGATTATGTCTGTTTCTATGCTCTCCTATGAATTCTCTTTAGGTGGTTTCAGAATTAGTGTTAAGGGAAGACACAAACATACTAATTTAAGAGAGAGGGAATGGAGATGGGTAGCGTTCAACACAATATGCATGATTTTAAGATAAGAAAGGCCTATGAGAGAAGAAAAGACAACCTAAAGAAGAAAGTAGAGGAAAAAGAATGGGGAAAGACAAAATCAGAATAGGAGGGGGAAATAAAAGCCATTAGAAAAGTAAAGGAAAGAGAATATAAAAGGTCCAAGAAAGAGGAGTATAGGGATAAAAAAGGAGAAGAGAACAAGAAAAAAAATACAGAATGCTACTAGCCAATGTTTCCTGAGAATCTAGGCCATCTACAGAACTAAGCTAAAGATATCTCTGGAATGAGACTGCAACTGACTATACAGAGCACTGCCAAGAATAATGAGGAGACTACGATGTGTTTTCACAGACATAAATTTACATAGAACTCTCATTTTAATTAAATTCAGTCTCAGTAAACTTTATCTGCAGATTTTGTGTCTGAAATTGGTTAGTGGGTGGGTAACAAAGGGTTAGAGATCCATGCCTTCCAAAATCTTGGCTTGGAAGCCAAGAATCATATTTGATGTTGCTGAGGTAATGTGCTTATTTTGAGACTAGTTACTCTTAAATATTACTTTCTTCTGAGATATATAATATTACCAAAGATAATTGACATCCTGGCTAGAAAATGCTTCTCTAATTGATTCTATTTTTTCAAAGCAATCGCCTGGCAATGAAATCCACACATGAATCAGGCTGGATGGTTTCCTAATAGCTTTTGGGAAACTGAGAACAAAAATTTATTCACTTCTGTCACTCCTAGAGGAGGCAGAGTAGGGGTAGGAGGGTAGTAATTAAGAACTAAGTGAAAATGTTCCAATCAAAAGGGGTTTGGGGTCTGTTAAGGCTGGATGAGTCTAGACTAAGAACGCCATGTGACACACAAAACCACCTACCACAGAGAACACTAGATAAACCAGGTAGGAGAATAAAATTATCATCTGAAAACCTTTCATGAGCCATTAAGATAACTGATTTTCTTCTACAAATGGCTATCCAGTTTTCCCAGTATCACACATTTAAAAATCTATCTTTTCTTCACCTTATGCTTTTGGCACTTTTCTCAAAGATGAGATAACTCTTGTCCATGTAGGTTTGTCTCTGTGTCTTCTCAACTGTCTATTCCCTGGGTCTCATGTCTGTTTTTGGCCAGTACCATTCTGGTTTTGTTACTATAGCTCTGTAGTATAATCTGAGTTTGGGTACTATGATCCTTTAGCCTAGTTATTATTGCTCAGGATTGCTTTGTCTATTCTGGGCCTTTTATTCTTCCATATGAACATTAGAACTATTTTTTTTCTAGTCTGTGAAGAATGTCATTGGAATTTTGATGCAGATTATATGGATTACTTTTGGTAATATGACCATTTTTGACAATATTAATTCTGCCTATCTAAGAACATGGAAGGCCTTTTCATCTTCTAATGTCTTCTTCAATTTATTTCTTCAGTATTCTATAACTTCCATTGTACAGATCTTTCACCTCCTCAGTTACATTTATTCCTGGGTCTGTTTTTAGGCTATGGTGAATGTTTTTTTTATTCCTTTTTTTGGGGGGGTTAATTATTGGTGCATAGAAAAGCCATGGAGTTTGAATGCTGCTCTTGTATCCTTCTATTTTACCAAATTTGTCAGCCCTAGATGTTTTCCTGTGGAGTGTTGGAGTCTTCCAAGAATGGAAACAGACCCCTATCTATCAACCTGAACAAAAAGACAACACAAAGTGAATGAAAAACTAAGGAATTAGACAGAAATTGTGCAGCTGATGGAAGAAAAGATAGGGTCAGCACACCAACATATAAGCACAGACACCAGCACCCTTAATACGACTGCTGAAACTGAAGAAATAAAACCAAGAATCAACAAGGGGAATGGCATTAAATTAAAAAGATATGTATACCAAAGGAAATAAGAGTGTGAAAAATACATACAGAATGGAAAGAAATCATCGCTAGTTGCTCTTCGGACAAAGGTTTAATATACAGAGTATATTGAAAAACTTAAAAAACACCAGAAAAAAAAAAC